GTAGAAACTGGAAAACTTGGGTTCAGTTCCCTTGATCCAGTAACTCTTTCACACCTTGTCCTACTCAAAAGCACTATTGTATGGATACCGTAGGGCAGAGGAAAGCCACCTTGATCCAGTAACTCTCTCATACCTTGATCTACCCCAAAGCACTATTGTATAGATATAGTTGGGCAAAGGAGAGCCAACTTGAGCATAGCAGAAGAAAGGCAAGATATAGGTAAGTAGTTGGCTACCTGTAACTTGCAAGTATTGGGGTGACCATCTGTGACATTAACCAGGTGCAGACTGACCCATTGGCAAAGCAACACAGACCTCAAAGAACAAATAAAAATATAGATAATACATAAAATTATGACTAAGCAGATTTCAAGTTGTTTGTTCTTTCAAAGGGATGGAGAACGCAGAGAACTGGTCCAATATGGTTCACAGAAGCTGTCAAAAATGATGAACCCCCTAATAGGAAATATTCTGGATTTTAAAAATATATTTTTGTGTTAAACCATGTGGGATTTTGTAAGAGAAAACCTGAGACCTATTTTAAAAGGTGAGCTGGCATTCTTGGAGGTTTCTAGGAGAGGCAGTTCACCTTTGGGGAGAATGATGGATCAGGGAAATTGGGAACCGTGAGAACAGCCTTTGTACATCTCTGGTCTAATGACATACCAGCATGTTTGAAAGGTCTATTCTTCTCTTGAATTCTAGATTCCTCCATTCCAGCAAGGAGCTCTTATCTGGCAGAAAGAAAAGCCTTTTCTAACATTGTACATGGAGGCATTGCAAAAAGAACAGGAAGAAGCAGAAAAAGATCTGGAGGAGCTGTCCCAGGAGTATCAACATGAAGCAAAAATTCAGAAACAGCACTTTCTACAGGTCAGCAGTGGTGTAATTCAAAGTGATTGTCTGAAGAAAGGCTTCATTATTCTAAGTTTCACCCCAGTGGCTCCCTGGCAGCCTCTCTGTGATGTGTGATCTGAACCAGCTCATCCATGAGAGGGAAATCGGTTTATTAATTTTTAAAAAGAAATTAGTTAACTATTTTAAGGCTCATTTTTTTTTCATTTTTGTTATTTTTCAGTTTTTAAAAGTAATTATGTCCCCCTTTTTCAATATATGTAAGATGCTTAGATTAAAAAAAAAACATTACAATGCAACAAGTTGTTGGTCTGAGATTTAAAACATATTCTCCTCCTGACCCCCTCACAAAAGAGGATGAAACAGAGGTACAACGAACAGCAAGAGTTAGAATTCTAAGCATTTGATATTTCCACCCCTTATCATTTTGTGATATAGGGCATTTCTCTGCTCTCTGAGTCTTTCTAGTCTCCTATCAAACCAGTAACATTACAAATTCCTTCTATTTTTTTTTTGTAATGTGACCTCTCAACCTTCTGTTCTCAAACTAAACATAGCCAGCTTTTTAAACCATTTCTCATAGTGCTTGGTTTCTAGACATTTTATCATCCTGCTCAATGTCTTTGAACATGTTTTAGCTTGCTAATATCCTTCGAGAACTTACTAATATAGGTATTCCCCAAGTTACAAACATCCCATTTAGAAATGACTCATAGTTACAAACAGGGGTGAGACAACAGGAAGTGAGAGAAATCTACCCCTAGGAAGGGGAATTCACTCCGGGATGTGTTACCATGTGTACTATAGTCCTGAGGTCAGTATCTTATGAAGCTGTCAGGGTCACAAAGATTGTGCATCTCCACACTAAAAGAAGAGAGCTATTTGGCAGAATTGACAAGGTGGGCAGTTTCGTTCAGAGGGATTCAGCGCAGTTGGGCAAAAAGAGGGCTGCACACGTCCTACTAAAGAACACTAAAGGAAGGCAGAGGATTTCCTCTTGCCCTTTTCATCAACTATGCAAATTAATAATAAGGTGGGGTGGATTTTGGGTTTGTGTGTGTGTGTGTCAGAAGCAGCTTGAGAGACTACAAGTTACTTCTGTTGTGAGAGAATTGGCTGTCTGCAAGGACGTTGCCCAGGGGACGCCTGGATGTTTTACCATCCTTGTGGGAGGCTTCTCTTATGTCCCCACATGGGGAGCTGGAGATGACAGAGGGAGCTCATCCACGCTCTCCCCAGATTCGAACCTCGACCTGTCAATCTTCAGTCCTGCTGGCACAAGGGTTTAATCCACTGCACCCCCGGGGGCTCCAGGAGGGATGGTTAAAACCCATGACGCCATGGCCATTCTGCATTAGGATATTTCAACCTCACCCTCATCCTAATGTGATGAAGACAGAAATTTCTGTGAGGTCCAAAGGTGATGAAGCATCCTTCTGCCTCACCAAATTCTGTAAAAATAGAGTATCTCACATGTTTCCAGTGATAAAAGTAAATTCGATTGCTATTTTTTGAGGTAATGCAGCAATAACTGCGTGGGGAGGGAAAGAGTATGCCAGCCTCAAGGGAAAGAAGAATGAGCAGGAGTTTAATATACAAGCAGCTTGTATTGGAGGTTGTTTCTTGAATAGGGAGAGGTATTTCAAAACACAGCATGCCCACTTGTTATAAAGAGACTGTTCAGCAATTCTTTGAGCGTTGGGGAGTAAAAGCTCTTTTGGATCTCTTCTATAGGTATTCCAAGCATATAAGGGCCATGTTGAAGAGCAGGTGGATGCCCTTGAAAAGCAGTATCGAAAGCTGCTCAAGGAATCCCTCCAGGATGCCATCTCCCTCTCAGTTCAGAATCAGCAACTGCGAGCTCAGACGCAACTGGCTTTCACAGACACAGCAACCCAGACAGACTTCCAAACCCTAAAGCACAATGGGGAGAACCATCCCATGACCTAAGAGTTTGTATCTGCACCTTTATTTCCTCTGGCTCTTTGGAATTAGTTTAACAACCAAGTTCTTGCTCATAAACGATCAGAAACAACCATTTTTTTCTCTGCAGCTATTTCAATTCTACACAAACAGAAAATAATTATGGATAAAGATCTCTGTCGTGGAAGATCCCCTTTCAAAGCTGATTCTGCAGTTCCAACCCTTGGAATACTGCCACTCACTATGTCCTTTCTCCTCATTTAACCCTTTCCTAGGCTGTGTACTTGAGCCTCTAGGGAAATCCTTATATGTGGCTGTATTGTTATAGTGGTTTCCCTGTGGTTAGCATGACCAGGCTCCACGTCACTTAATAAACAGGAAGAGACAGTGGTAAAAAACTAAAAGAGTGGATGTTTATTAAGAGACATATAATATATTAACCCTTGAAATCAGTTAATCACAGCTTCCTAAAACTATACTCAGCTTTTCCCTCTCCCTGATTTCTATTACAGCTCTACTGTCTTCATCAACTCCAAACCTTCTCTATCAAATCATAACGCCCTTGTTTTCGCTACATTGCTTTCGCCCACAGCCTGAGTCATGGCTTTCCCTGAGGCATGACTGACTTGCCTAGCTCCTCCTTCACAAATGTACTCAAATGTAATAGAAAAAACCATGTTTCCAGAGTAGGTCTGAGAAAGTGAAACGTTTCCATGAAGTTGACCCAAGCTGGCCCTCTGCTTTACTGGGCTGGCTATGATGAAACAAGTGAGGCAGACTAGAGCATTGACAAACTCACAGCAACTCTGACTAAAGCCCTTCAAAAGGCCTATTCTGCAACCACCGTGGGAGAAAAATGTTCTCTGCAACACCAAATCCGTACAGTCATCCAGACACTTAAGGACCAGTCTTCAGTGGTCAACGGCCTTCTAGGTCCAGGCTTATTATGGAGAACACTCAACAACTTTCTGTGAAGAATGTATATAACACTTCAAAGACAAAGTACTCAGATCTGCTGTGATGTGGATGCTGCAATTGATACAAGTCTAGTTGGTATAGCTTGGCCCATACTTCACATCATTGGATATGTGATGTCAAGGAGTCTTGTCCATCCTAGCTTATTAAGTAAGTCAGAGTATATCTGTATACTTTAAATGGTTATGCGAATGCTTTTTATGTTAGGCCGCTTTGAGTCCTCTTCAGAGTAGATGAAGTGGGACATAAATAAATATAATGAATAAAATAAAGAGTGGAAATTACAGATAAAGGTCTCTTTACGGTAAAGCAAGGTTCTGTCTTGCTTAAAGTAGAATATTCTGCATAATTTTACCTTACCATAAAATTAATTAGCTAGTCACGTATATTCCACAGCACCAGAGTGTGCATCAGAATCTCCCAGTGCCTGGATGAGTATTTGTTATTTGCTGTTAGCCACCAAATTGTGGAGACCCTGTGGATTATACTTTCAAGAGCCCCAGTCATTAAATGTTCTGCTCAGGTTTTGTAAACTCGGGGTTATGTCTTTCTTAATCAAATTTCTTAATCAATTTTCCTACTAGCTTTCACTTCACCAAACATTGTGTTTTCTGGTGAGTCGTGTCATCTTATAAGTTCACAGCATGACACCTTCAGCTTAGTGGTCTTTCAGTGATCTTCTGAGTTTAGGTGTAATTTGTTATAGAAGCCACTCATTTGTCTTTCCAGCAGTCCCTGACACACAAAAAACTCTCATCCAGCACATTTCAAATGAATCATATCAGCTCCCTGTCACCTTTATTCACTGTCCAACTTTCAGAGGCAATACTATGGCACAAGTGATTCTGATTTTGGTATTCAATGATATATTCATAAATTTGGTGATCTAATCCAGTTCTTTCATAGTGGATTTTCTGAGTTTTAGTTTCTGTTATTACAGACTGAGAAACTATTTCGGTGTCTTTTTTACCCATTTTAGTTATATGAATTACTTGTCATTATTTTGACCAGAATATTCAGCTGTAACTTTTTATATTTTCTTCTTTAATTTTCATGAGCAAGAATGCAGAAGTACCCACTGACATTAAGAAACGTAGAAAAGGATGGTAGATTTCTTCTGGGTTATGTTAACAATGTCAACTTGAGAACTGTGCAGCTAATATCTTCATATGCAGATATTATTTCATTGATTGTTCAATGTTTTAATTTTTGTTACAAAAAATGAACAGAGAGATAATACAAAAAAATAAAAACAACCCTGGTAATATTTTAATATTATTCCATATCAGACATTGATGCATAGCATTGATACTAATTGAACCTGAGTATATACAATTCCATCACTGGTTCTTCAAAGTGTTAAAATGATGGGTAAGATAGCACACACATCCCAAAATGTGAAAGTAGAACACCCTCACCCTCCAAAGAATGCTAAGGTAGAATTGCAACCAGGAATCCTGTATATTCACAACTCTAATTCAGAGTGACTACTCATCAGTTCTCTTCCTTTGTTACAGTTTCCAACATTGGTACTGGAGTATAAGAGGTTGAGTGACTAGTCTTATTTTGTTAAATTTGTCTGCAATTGACAATGCTGCAGACAAGGCATTTGACAGCAAGAACATTTCTAATCTTTATTACAGGCACAGCTCAGTAAACAAACACTCTGACAGTGAAACTACTTTTTACAGATACTTTAATGCCTGTGGGACCCTTGTCTCCTCTCTCTCCTGTCTAGCAAGGTGTTTCTTTTAACAGCCTGGATATTGGGAGGATGGTAAAAGATTGCTGGAGAAATATAAGCTTTCATCATTGCGTTCTAGCCATGTGCTTGTAGTAAACAATGCAAAAAACAAAGTTTGACCTAAAAGAAGGGTGGGAATCTTCTCTAGGAAATCCCACTGTTACCTTGTGTGCCAACCTCTTGAATCCCTTACTGGGCATGCATGAATAGGCAAACTAAAGAAAAATAGAACAGATCAACCACCTCAAAATATTATAAATGCACGGATATATATTTGGCCACCAAAATGGAAATAAGAAAAGTGGAGGCTGGTGAAAGAAAAAGCCACCCCTGGATATATGTTGGGGGAAAAGCTTAAAGTGGTCTCTAGCAGGTAGAGAATTTTATTGACTAATGCAAGGCTTCCATGACCAGTTCACATATGCATATTGTTAGTTTTGAATAAAAAGATGCCTTGGGGTAGCTGAACTCCTGGCAAAACATGGTATGAAATCCTCATTCTGTTTCCTGATGACTTTAATCTCTTTGGTTTCCACTTTGATGGTGACTTTTATTATGACAAGGTCATGCCTAAGGGTTGTGCTCAGCTGTGCTATTTAGCACATTTCTTAAATGGTGTGTCATGAAAATGTCCAGAAATCTGTGACAGCTTATGACCTCAATCACCTCGTTTCAAATTTTCCATTGACTAAGTAACGAAGCAGAACACATCTACTTCATTAATTGCCTGTATTTGCTCCAGGGAAAGTGGCAATGCAAATGGGAAATCTTGGTTGGGTGATAACAGAAATGCTACCCATGTCAGAATCTGTCTGTACAGTTTAATAACTGTAAAGGGAGATGAGTCAGGGTTGCTTGGTCAATGATGAGGCATTACATAGTATCTCCAAAAACCAATTTGAATAAAAACAAATGTTCACTGCATGCATAAGCTTAAAAAAAGCAAACAGATATGATGCACTGCTTATTCAGGAAAATTTTCAAATTCAGATGAAAGGGAAAAGAGAGTCATATTGGGCAAAGTTTTTCAGAAGGAAAGAGCAAAGCGTTAGGAAAACCTGGCTGCAATTTTTGAAGGATTTCAGCTCTTGTCATTTTGTGTATGGGAGCCTTGGCTTCGTTCAGGAACAAACAGTAAAAGCCAGAAGACAATCTATAAAAGGCACTTTATCAAGTTTGACATTTATCAGATAACTAGACTGGAAGCTCTGTGGGAAAGAGAATGACAAAAGCCATGATCTGCCCGACAAGAGAATCGATAACAGGTAACCCTGTTCAGATAGCCCTCTTTCCAAATAAAAATTGAGTGGATAAGAAAGTTACACATAAACAGAGATGAAAGCTTGGGAGATAACAATTCTACTGTAGTCCATTGAGAAAGCACTCCCTTTTGGAGAATCATCATTACGTAGGCAGCATATTGCAAGGAAGTGGGAGGTTATCAAATATGACTCTGCCATTCTGTTATTATTGTAACAGATTGTGCAAAATATTCAACAGCAAAAAACGAAAGTGCTATGTTCACTGTATGGGGCAAAACAAGATCTAAATATATAAATAGATTATATCAGAAATGCAGAAAACAAGTGTTTGTCTCCAATGGTCCACCCTTCCCTACTGTGCTGCTACACTGTCAAAATTAAGCAGCAACTGGAGGGGTGTGTGATGGTGCAATCACATGGTGCACAAATAAAGGCATAAGTTATTCCCAAGCAATTGTGATGTGATTTTCGGAAGATCCACAATATTTTCACCCATTATACGTTTTCAATAATACTTCTTGGGCTGAGGATGGCTTCCACAAGACAAAAGCAACAAAGCTATTTGACTCCATAGTACAAGTAAACAGCCAAGCCAATCAATAGTACAGAAAGGGAAAAAAAGACAGTGAGGTGGAGGTTGAAAAGGAGGACTGAGAGCAAAGCATTAACCATAATGGAACAGGAGATTACAAAAAGTCGAGTGATGTTAGTACTGTGCTTCATGACCACAGACATTATCAAACCATTCAAGGCTTGGCTTATGATAACTAGCAGTATCCAAAATGAAAAACCTTCTAGAAACCCAGCTACTGAGCTGCTTGCCAGGTGGATAATTACATTCAGCACAACACCAAAAATATAAAGGAACAAATTTTGAAGGTTAAGAGGCAGGTCTTGGGTCTTGAGAACAACTTCGGTATAGACCGCAGAGAGGCCTGAAATCAGGCAATACAGCAAGATCAGCAGCAGGCCAATGGGAGTAATGTGCAGCTGTGTGTCAGAGGAAGGCAAGCGCTCTAGGTCCTGCAGGCCTCCATATGTGTAGAATGCTCCAGCAGCTGTCAGTAGGCCAAGGGCTAGCCACTTGCGTAGAGTCAGTCTTTGGTGCAAGAAAAAACTGAAAAGAAGAGCAGTGCTTCCAATTTTCAAGTTGCTTAGTACTTGAAACGTACTAGGATCCATAAACAGCTGCAGATGAACCACTAAGTTGTTGTTGGCTGCATACAGCAAAGCCGAGAGAGCAAAAGGTGCAGCATGATACCATGATATGGAGATCCTTAGTTGTTTCCAGTCCCAGATGAGCAAAAAGACTAAGGAAAGTGCTAGCTTTGTTAACTCAATCAAAACTACCACAGAGGAGGCACTGAATGGGATCTGGCCATTTTCTTTACAAAGAGTCAAGAGTGGAGCATGGGAGCCATATATCACAACAGACAGAATCAGCATCAGGCCCCACAGGACCTTCTCGGGTAAGAGAACACCAACAAGATTCACCAAGCGACCAACAGAACAACCTCTGTCCAACAACATTGCTGTGATGAGGAGAGACAAGTAGAAAGCCAATCTATAACCTTTTAGAGAAGAAAATACAAATGTTGACCTTTTAACATCATCTTCATAGAAACAAGTTTATGACATGTTTAATGAGTTAAATCAGTAAAATAGTAACTGATGGTGAGATGCACATGTCATTTAAATATTGATGCATGATTGAAAGAAAAAGGATATTTCAAATGTGAACAAGTCAAAGCAGGGGTATTTGATAGGTTCCAGTCTTAAGCACAAAAGCATAGTAACCTAACCACTGCCCTTAATACCATTAGAATGATAAATATATCAGAGAAAAGGAAATATAGCTGTTCAAGCAAATATTTTAGAAGCATCCAAGTCCCAGCATGGCTGAAAAAGGAACTATAGCTTTCATGATATAATGAACTGAGAATAATTGCAATCAGACCTGCTGAAATGTCAAACTCATCAGTTATATCCACTTTCCTAGCAAATATGAACGGGGAGCCAAACATTTAAGACCTATACAGACTTGAAATAGTTGACAAATTCTAAGATGAGAAGCAGAATTCCCTGGAGTGTATCACTGCATGAGGAGTCCACTTTTAGTCTGGTCCTTTTCTAAATGAGTTGAAGTAGTCTTTGATAGTCTTTTCCACATTAGGGACTGCATAGGTTTGAGCAGCGTACACGCCAGTACAAGTTCCCACGAAAAATCCCAGAACTGCTGAAGATCGGAGTTTGGCTACAACATACCCAGCAAGGAACCCTTTGAGAAATGGAGATGCCAGCAAAGAACCTTCCTGCAGATGGAAACAAATAATAGGCCAATGACATCTAAACACAACAACAACAAAACATCAAACTAGGACAAGATTCTGTTGTTCACTATTTGTTATAAAATGGTTATGATCAATTCAAAGACGGGGAGGGGGAGACATTTCCTATATTTCTAAATGGAGAATTATAGATAAAACACAGTAGTTTTTACTCTAGCAAGTTACTGGGATGTACATTTAAAACTTTATTGCTTTTTGGGAGATAAAGTTAAAATATATAATTAAGCAGTTCCACTTTTACCTGTCCAACACCAGCCTGCACTTCATTCTCTACTCTTTGTTTCAAATTTTCCAACTGATCTTTCAAAAAAGCAAGATCTTTCAACTTCGGTACAGAGTCCTATATATCGGAAACAAGCACAACATTATTCTATATTGTATGTATTTTAGTATCGTTGTTTTAGAAAACAAAGACCAAAAGAAGGGTACCAAGTAATTCTAATTGTGTGCCTACCATCCAGGTATCCCTCCTTCTCTCCCTCCCCGACCCCCCTCGCTGCTTCCTTTGGGGAAAAATCAGGGTTTCTTCCTCCACTCCAGCCTCACCATCCTTGGGGCCTTTTGGGAGAACCAAATCCAGCTCTTTTGATGGAGAAGTGGCGCCCATGTCTGAGACCTGGGGCCATTTACAAGACTTACACAACTCTTCTGAAAATAATAGTTCAGTAATTTGAATTTTTTTGGCATGGTTAAAATATTTCTCAGTCCTTTTTATTCCATGCACTTAAAATGAATAGGTATCTCCTCTAAAACACAGATTTTTAAAACCTAAAATGCTATTTTTGGACTCTCAGAACAGCATTAGCTATGTATCCACATAATGCAAATTAATAAACAGTTGATTCTTCTTCTTGCATTTCTTAATATTGCTGTACGAATCTAACGAATTTGGTCTGGAAAATTAATTAAAAACAAAGTTTTGCACACCCCTTTTGTGCTCAGCCTGCACAAAGCAGAAAAAGGCCTACTCCTCTTGGCTGCTTTCACACAGCTGAGTAAAATCCCACATTTTCTGCTTTCTACTGGAATATATGGTGGTGTGGACTCAGATAACCAGTTTGAAGGAGATATTCTAGGTTATATGGCTGTGTAGAAGGGCCCTTTGACAATGCTTTCCTAGCCTGTTAGTGCGTCAGCTGTCACGTGTAGGTGTGTCATGTGAACATATGGAGAAATCTTTCAGTCTATAAGACATAAGTGAACACATCATATTGTGTTAAAAAATATAAATGAAAGGTTTCATTGAAATATATTGTGCGTCTCCTGTATGTCTGTAAGTGCCTGTTCTTATAAGAGGTGGGTTTAACCTCTGGTTTGCTAGTAAAACTGAATGACTGTGTCACAAAATGATGCAGGTTGAAAAGTGTGTCACCAACATGAAATGGTTGGAAAGCTCTGGCCCAAGAGCAGCCAGGGCTTTGTGAAGATTTGGATCCAGTCCTCCCCAGCCTGGAGCCCTACCCTTGCCTCTTAACAGACTGTATTCTGATCTCAGTTTTGACTCCACTCCTAACACTGGTTTCTTCCTGCCTGGCTCCCCCCTTCAGCCAAAGAGGCCTGGGCAACGTGGCAGGCCAACTTCGCGCCCTCGCCTCCTGCCCTCCCATGGCCGCCCCTCTCTTAGGTTGAATGCCCTCTCTTTTTTCTGACCCCGACCTAAAAGAGAAGCAGGCGGGACTGGGGTCCTCCTCAGCGCCAGAACGGGCGGAGGGACACCTTCAACGGCCATCTCCACCCGCCTCGTACCTTATCGTCCGCCATCTTTCTTGCCCAAAACTATACCGCCCATTGCGCATGCGCACTCTGAGCTCAACCATTGGCTCAAACCCTACAAACATGCGCAAATGAGTCCAACATCTAGTTACTTCAGCCTCATCTCCTCTCCTCCAGCTCTTGAAGTGGAAACAGCAATGGGGGCGGGGCCTGACCGGTGGCAGCGCTGTCATCTAAGCCTACAGGCTTTTGGACTTCAACTCCCAGAATTCTTTGCAGCTGGCCAAGCTGGACGGGGCTTCTGGGAGTTTGAGTCCGCACACCTCGAGGCTCAATATTGGGAGCCACTGCATACTGAAGGAGAAAGGGAAGACAGGAATTCGTGCGTTGTCTCACCTCAGAGACCACTTTAGCTTTTTAGGACTGACATATTTTCAAATTGGCTCTATGAAAATTATTCTATATTTTTCTCTGTTTGGGTTCCACCTACGGAATCTTTCTACTTTGGCTCTTCCACACAGTCTAGGATTCAGTAAGCAAGCTGTGTGGTCATCTGTCAGGAAGGATTGAATTGTGTCTTTCCTTTACGGCATAATGGGGTTGGACTGGATAGCCTTTGGGGGTCCCTTCCGACTTTAGGTTTCCGTAAACAGGCTGCGTGGTCATCTGTCAGAAGGATTGAATTGTGTCTTACCTTCATGGCAAAATGAGGTTGGACTGGATGACCTTTGGGGGTCCCTTCCAACTCTAGGATTCAGTAAACATGCTGTGTGGTCATCTGTCAGGAGGGATTGAATTGTGTCTTTTCTTTATGGCAAAATGAGGTTGGACTGGATGACCTTTGGGGGTCCCTTCCAACTCTCGGATTCAGTAAACAAGCTGTGTGGTCATCTATCAGGAGGGATTGAATTCTGTCTTTCCTTTATAGCAGAATGAGGTTGGACTGGATGACCTTTGGGGGTCCCTTCCAACTCTAGGATTCAGTAAACAAGCTGTGTGGTCATCTATCAGGAGGGATTGAATTCTGTCTTTCCTTTATGGCAGAATGAGGTTGGACTGGATGACCTTTGGGGGTCCCTTCCAACTCTTGGATTCAGTAAACAAACTGTGTGGTCACCTATCAGGAGGGATTGAATTGTGTCTTTCCTTTATGGCAGAATGAGTTTGGACTGGAGGACCTTTGGGGGTCCCTTCCAGCTCTAGGATTCAGTAAACAAGCTGTGTGGTCACCTATCAGGAGGGATTGAATTCTGTCTTTCCTTTATGGCAAAATGGAGTTGAACCCAGAATTTCAAGGCAGATAAATCCACAATATCTGCTTTGCATAGGGTTATCTCAGTCCACACTGCCATATATTCCAGTTTAAAGCAGATAATGTGGGATTTTCTGCCTTGATATTGTGGGATTTCCTGCCTTGATGTTCTGGGATTAAGGGTTGTGTGGAAGGGCCCTAATTGACGCAGCTGCCGCCATCTTTGTTGCGGGAAGGCAGGCCGAAGGTCTGCGCATGCTCAGATTCCCTCCGTGTCCCCAGAGCAGCTCCTTCGTTTCAATGACGCAAGAAGATGCAATTACTCTGCGGGAGGGATGGATTGATTGGGACGCGGGGGGGGGAGGGGGGGAGGATGTCGGTGCCACCAGTATGTCGCATCTGCTTTATGTAAAACATAGAATATGAAGCCCAGCAACAACTGGAGGTCCGGACAATTCGCAGTGCTGACCTACACAACATGCAGCCCAGTAAATCTTTCCCTTCTCTTTTTCTCTCTCTCACCCAGGAAAACATAAAAATACACTCAGGGCATTTTGGGACACCGCTCACTGAGGCCCCTTCAACAATGCCATATAAAAACCAGATTATCTACTTTGAACTGGATTATGTGGCAGACAGTGTAGACTCATATAATCCAGTTCAAAGCAGATAACATGGATTATATAATTTCATAATCTTGATTATATGGTAGTGTAGAAGGGGCCTAGGAAGAGAAACCGCTGCACATCACCCATTGAACATTGTTGTGACAATCACATCAGTTTTATCACGTTAAGGCCATTTTTGTTATACAAAGGGAGCTTCATATAAGAGTTATCACATTTAACTGACCAATCAGCTATTATTTATTTATTTTATTTACAACATTTCTCCCCCGCCCTTCTCAACCCCTGAGGGGGGACTCAGAGCAGCTAACACTGGCAACCATTCGATGCCGCGATATCACGATATAACAATATAAAACCATAAATACACAATAGGTTAAAAACAATAACATTAATGATACAGTCACATAGCTTTAGCTAGATACTGATTTGTCCAAAGGAAGGTATGAGGAACCCCAGGGTTTGGTATAATGCAATAGGTATATGTGTGTCAATGTCTGTCTGTCTGTCTGTTTGTACCACAAAGGTTGTTGTTAGGTGACAGTGGCCCTTTGTGACTTGCTAGGTGAAGTGGCCCTCTGTGATGTCATTGGGAAAGAAAGGTGATGTGTGTGAGAAGAAGGAAAGAAAGCAAGGGAAAGAAGGGAAGGAAAGGGGAAGGAAGGAAGGAAGGGGGAAAAGGAGAGGAAGAAGGAAAAGAAAGGAAAGACAGAAAGCTATGAGGGAAAGAAAAGAAAGAAAGATAATGAAAGGAAGACAAAGTAAGGGTGGAGGACAGGAAGAGAAAGGAAGGAAGAAACTGGGGAAAGGTGTATGTGGAAAAGCAAGGGATAGGTGAGATTGTAGGGGAGAGTGTATGGGTTCAACTGCACTGTAGAATTAATGTAGTTTGACACCACTTTAACTGCCATGGCTCAGTGCTATGGAATCCTGGGATTTGTTGTTTGGAGAGTCACTGACACTTTTTTCCAAAGAAGGCTGAAAGACCTAGTAAAACCACAATCTCCAGGATTCCATAGCATCGAGCCATGGTGTTGAACTGCGTTAATTCTACAGTGTAGATACACCCTGTGTGAACTTGCAATCCATTTAAGGGCACGTAATAATCGTGGTTGTGATGCGGTCATATTCCTTGGTCTTATGTGAGTTTCTTTATTGGTGAGTCCTGTCAGATTGAGAGAGAATTGCTCTGGGGAAACTTCCTTCAGACTGGGCTGGCCCAGTGCCATCTCAACGCATGGGCACATTAGGCAGCTACCCAAGGGCCCAACAAGCCCCATGTGAATTTATGCACTGACCGGAAACTTAAGACTTAGGACTACTCTAAGATTGAAACGACTTGAAAGCACACAACGACAGCAATCCTAATTAACTTAACTGTCAGCCAAAAGCAGGCCCACACTTCCCATTGAAATGCTGGTAAGTTTATGTTGGTTAAAATGTTCTTAGTTTTAAACATTGTATTGTTCTTCCGTGTTTTTTTGGACTAAGAATTAGATATGTATCATGTGCATAGGAATTCATTCAATTTTTTTCAAACTATAGTACGGCCCTCAACAGTCTAAGAGACCACGAACTAGCCCTCTGCTTAAAAAGTTTGGGTTAGAGGAAGTATGAGAAAGTTAAGTGAGGAAAAAGTAACTGCAAACCTATTCCTGGAGACCAATAAATAGAAGTATAATGGCTTTTGTATCCGACATTGCTTAGGTTAATTATTTTGTGAGTGGAATACAACTCCCATCATCTTCTTTTAATCCACAGCAAAACCCTTAACTATTTTAAGTTGGTCATGATGGGTAGGTAAAGGGGTAAAGGTATGATATGAAGTCCAGTCGTGTCCGACTCTGGGGGTTGGTGCTCATCTCCATTTCTAATCCGAAGAGCCGGCGCTGTCCGTAGACACCTCCAAGGTCATGTGGCCAGCATGACTGCATGGAGTGCCTTTACCTTCCTGTCGCAGCGGTACCTATTGATCTACTCCCATTTGCAGGTTTTCGAACTGCTAGGTTGGCAGAAGCTGGGGCTAACAGTGGAAGGTGGAAACTGCAATCTTTCGGTCAACAAGCTCAGCAGCTCAGCACTTTAACCCACTGCGCCACTGGGGGCTCCTCATGATGGGTACATGTGCCAAGTTTGCTCCAGATCTATTGCTGGTGGGATTTGCACAGCTCTCCAGATAAGGATGGACTACAACTCCCATCATCCTCTATCAATTCCCCGATAACCTTGCCAATATTTTGGTGGGGTTCATGTGGCTCTCCGGAAGTAGCTGAACTACAAACTCCAATCATCCTTTGTCAGCACAGCCAAACCGCACAGTTATTTTTAATTGGATCATAATGGTTATGTGTGTTGTTTGGTCCACATTCATCAAACCATGTAGAAGCCTTTGTGGATCAAACATATACAATTTGACATTTATACATACAGATTTTATTAATAATTGACATTCTTATTCCTGTGAGTGATTGTGTAGGCAAGGCCCAGTGCACTGCTTTGCCTGGGAGCTTATCAGAAGGCCTTGGGCTGGCCTTCCATGACCTGGTGGTAGAGTCACAGCACAGTTAGTGGAATACCTGTTATCAGGGGCACAGGTACTTTGACTTGACCCACACAGAGAGGGAGCAGTCTATGGAGAGAGGAGGTGCTCTTATCTCTTGCTAACCTCCAGGCCTCTAGCTCAACTCAGAGCCCTCTGAATCATAGAATAATAACAGAGTTAGAAGAGACCCCATGGGCCATCTAGTTCAACCCCCTGCCATGCAGGAAAAACACCATCAAAGCACCTTCAACAGATGGCCATCCAGCCTTTGGTTAAAAGCCTTTAAAGAAGGAGTTCTCACTAAATTCCAACGCAGTGAGTTCCACTGTTGAACAGTTCTTACAGTCAATAAATTATTTCTAATGTTCAGGTGGAATCTCCTTTCCTGTAATTTGAACCCATTGCTCTAAGTTCTAGAATCTAGGACCACAGAAAACAAGCCTGCTCCTTATGAGCTCCTTTCAAATATTTAAACATGGCCATCACGTCTCTTCCCAACCTTCACTTCTAGAGGCTAAACATGCCCATCTCTTTAAGCCACTCCTTTAAGCACTGCTTAACTATCAAGCAAAAAGTGGGTGCTAGAAATAATATCAAATGCAAGTTGACTGGCACCACCTGGGATCACAACCAGACACAGTGAAGACATCTGCCCTTACTCTGCTGCTAAATATGAATGCCCAGTGTGGAACACATCTCACCACATCAAAACAGTGGATGTGGCTCTTAATGAGACATGCCGCATTATCACAGGATGTCTACGCACCACACCACTGGAGAAATTATATTGTTTAGCCAGTATTGCAATACCTGACATCCGCTGGGAAGTCGCAGCCAACAATGAAAGGACCAAGGCAGTGACATAAAAACTTTTAAAAGACTTTAAAACTTGGCTTTTTTGATATGCTTTCAGAGAGTGACCATTTAACCCATTTGTTTGTTTCCATGTACAGCTGTCCTCATGATACACCCTCCCCTGTCCTTAATAAAGGCTTAACCCCACTGTTCCTCCATCTTGAGCTCCTCCCTTACAAATATAAATATACTTTTTTTATTCCTGTCTCACCCAGGGTTTTAAGGTTTAACATTTTATTTCATGCATCTGGCCCGCCCTTTGCGTCTGATTTTTACTATGTTATTTTATACTGTTCATTTTATTTTGTTTATTTTATATATTCTGCTGTGATGTATTTTTTTGTTGCTTTGTGACTAATTATGCTGTATTATTTTGGGGCTTGGCCTCATGTTAGTTGCCCCAAATCCCCTTTGGGGAGATGGTGATGGGTTATAAATATTTATTTATTTATTTATTTACTGTATTTGTATACTGCCTTTCTCAGCCAATCGGCGACTCAAGGCGGTTTCCAACAAATCAGTTCACATAAAATCATAATACAGAACAAAACATTGAAAACAGTATAAAAACACAACAAGAGCAATAAAAAATATCATTAGCGCCTCAATATTATCAAGCATTGTCCAGTTCCATCGTCAAGTCATTTGATTTCCTATATATTGGCTACTCTGCATTTGTAATTGCTTGCTCGAACAACCATGTTTTAACTTGCCTCAAAACGTTAAGAGGGAGGGAGCTGATCTAATCTCTTTAGGAAGGGTGTTCCATAGCCAAGGGGCCACCACTGAGAAGGCCTTGTCTCTCGTCCCCACCAGCTGTGCTTGTGATGAAGGCAGGACCGAGAGCAGGGCCTCCCTGGATGATCTTGAAGTCCTTGAAGTTTAATAGGTAAGGTAAAGGTTGTCCCCTGACATGAAGTCCAGTCATGTCCGACTCTGGGATGTGGTGCTCATCTCCATTTCTAAGCTGAAGAGCCAGCGTTGTCCATCATTGTCCAAGGTCATGTGGCCGGCATGATTGCATGGAGCACCGTTATCTTCCCGCCTGAGCAGTACCTATTGATCTACTCGCATTCACATGTTTTCGAACTGCTAGGTTGGCAGAAGCTGGGGCTGTCAGCAGAAGCTCATGCCGCTCCCCGGAATCGAACCTGCGACCTTTCAATCAACAAGCTCAGCAGCCCAGTGGTTTAACCCACTGCGCCACTGGTTGGTTAATAAGTTTATTATTATTATTATCTCTGGTCCATCCCCTGTTCAGATATCAGCCAGAACACCAAAGCCTTAAATCAAGAAATAGTTTTATAAGATCTACAGAGATATTTGCAGGAGCACCCCAGCAAACGAGAGCCCAAAAGTGGCAGGCTAAAACCCGGAACCTCAAGCTATGGCTGATACTGAATGAGACGCCCTCCTGAGCACACAGAAGACTGGGTGACTTGGAAGATGCTGAACAGACTGCGCTCTGGCACTAGGAGAGGCAGAGCCAATCTTAAGAAATGGGGCCACAAAGTGGAGTCCATGGCATGCGGGTGTGCAGAAGACCAAACCACAGACTACCTGTTACAATGCAGTCTGAACCCTGCCACATGAATAATGGAGGATCTTCTTACAAGAACACCAGAGGCACTCCAAGTGGTCAGCTACTGGTGAAAGAACATTTAGTATAACACCAGGTTTTTTAAACTTTGTGTTTTTAAATACATTACAACTGTATTTATTTATTTATTTATTTTTATGATTTATTTAAAATATTTGTATTCCGCCCTTCTCACCCTGAAGGGGACTCAGGGCAGAGCACAGCATATCTACGGCAAACATTCAATGCAGGGACACAAATTCATATACACATACATAAACATTAAAAACATTAATCTCAATGTTAAAATACACCATTTAAAACCGTCCTAGTCATCAGCATCAAATCTAATTAGCCTGGTAATCTTTCTTATTGCCGCTTTATTGGCCTGTCCCAAAAGCTTGGTTTCACAGCCAAGTTTTTACCATCTTTCTAAAGGACAGGAGAGAGGTGGCTGGCTTGATCTCACCAGGAAAGGAGTTTCATAGCCGGGGAGCTATCACCGAGAAGGCCCTGTCTCTCATCTCATCTCATTTATTATGGAGCCCCCAGTGGCGCAGTGGGTTAAACCCCTGTGCCGGCAGGACTGAAGACCGACAGGTCACAGGTTCAAATCTGGGGAGAGGCGGATGAGCTCCCTCTATCAGCTCCAGCTCCTCATGCGGGGACATGAGAGAAGCCTCCCACAAGGATGATAAAAACATCAAATCATCCGGGCGTCCCCTGGGCAACTTCCTTGCAGACGGCCAATTCCCTCACACCAGAAGCGACTTGCAGTTTCTCAAGTCACTCCTGACACGACAAAAAAAACCCCTCATTTATTGTGTCAGTTCACTTCTGACACGATAAATAAATAATGATTCATGGTCTACAGACCTTTGACCATTTTGATCACCCTTCTCTGGACACCTTCCAGCTGGTCAATATCCCTCTTGAATTGTGGTGCCCAGAACTGGACACAGTGTTATTCAGGTAGAGGTCTGACTAAAGCAGAATAGAGGGGTACCATGACTTCCCTTGATCTGGAAGGGTATCCAGTCCACACTGGGGGGGGGGGGGGGGAGAGAGTTGGGGGCGGCCCTGGTTGTCTGACGTCACTGTTCTGGCCCCGCCCCTCCCTCCCTCTTGACTCCACCCCTTCTCCTTCCCTGCTACCGCTCTGGGTGGCTTGCCTCCGAACCGAGTGGAGCCATGCTGGGCAAGGACTACATGCTGGCCATCATCCTGGTCAACTGCGATGGTGAGGATGGAGTATAGATTGGGGAAGGGGAGAGGAAGAAGTGGGATGGGGTGTCCCAGCGGCTCAGCCTGAAGGGATGTTTGGGTGTCCTTCTTTGACACCCCCCCCCCCCCCCCCCCCCCCCCCGCAATTGGAGAGGAGTGAGTTTTCAATGTGAGCAATGCCTAGCAAAGAAGGGACTGTGGGCGCCTTCCCGCTTTGTAAACAAACCAGCAGCCATAGACAGAGAGCTGACCAGAGCCAGGCGGCTGTCCAAGGTGCTGAAGGGAGAGATCCCGCTATTCTCTGCACAAAGTTGGTTCCGGTTATTATTCAACAGCAGTGCATCCATTCCCCTAAAGATTCCTAAGGATGCCCTATGGATTTGGGAGCTAAGAAGGGTGGGTTCTGGCTAGTGTGAGGATGGGAGAACACCAGCCAATGCCAATTTCTGCATTATAGGCAGAGGAAGGAACTAACAAACCAACCTCTGAGTATCCCTTTCCCCAATGAAATCAATGAAGTTGCCATAAGTCAATGGGGACTTGGAGGCACAGACGCACAAACACAATCCCCCAGAGTCTGTTGCTGCCAAAGCCACACACTGGGGAGCTTTCAACTTTAATATTAACATATATTATGATAAGCTGTACCTGCCACGCATTGCTGTGGCCAACCTTCCTCCCTCTTTCTCTTTCTCTTTCTCTTTCTCTTTCTCTTTTCTTTCTCTTCCTTCCTTCCTTCCTTCCTTCCTTCCTTCCTTCCTTCCTTCCTTCCTTCCCCCCCCCCCCCCCCCCTTCCTTCCTTCCCTCCCTCCCTCCTTCCCTCCCCCCTCCTTCCTTCCTTCCTTTCCTTTCTCTCTCTCTCTCTCTCTCTCTCCCTCCTCCTTCTCTTCCCTCTTCCTTTCTTCTTCTTCTCTTCTTCTTTTCCCTTCTCCCCCAATATTCTTTCTTTTCCCTTCCACTTTCTCCCCTTCCTTCCTTCTCTACCTATTCTTGGACTGCAACTCCCAGCAGTCCTCCTGATCTATCTATCTACCTACCAGTCTATCTCTATCTAATCTATCTATTTGGAGGATTGCTGGGAGTTGCAGTCCAGGAATAGCAAACTGGAAATATGCAGGGATGCTCTCAAAGAAATCCAAGGAGAAGAAAGCTTGCAGCTTGGAAGCAGTGCATTTGGATCATCCTCCTCTCCTAAAGGTCTAGGAGATGCTGGGTCTAGGGAATGCTGGGAGTTATAGTCTGGAAGAGAGTGTGGATATGCTTTTCTGTGCTTTGTTTGCCAGGGGAGTAGTTTTTGCACATGCGCTGTAGTGTCTCTTTGCCTTTTTGGCTTTTTAAGTTGCTTCCACTGTGTGTTTCAGTGTTTTTATGAGTGATTATCACTTGTTGGCCTGATAGGTGTAATGTGTCCAAATTTGGTGTCAATTCGTCCAGTGGTTTTAGAGTTATGTTAATTCCATAAATGAACATTACATTTTTATTTATATAGATGAAGATATGATGGCACAGACAACATATCTTCATCGAGCAACAGTTGATTGATTTCAGGAAACATTTCTAGCTTTTTCTCCCCAATAAAATATATTTGAAGTAGGTTAAACATCTAAGTCTGCATAGCTGGCAGCTTGAGAGCCTTGTACGCTTCCAGGAAAAGCAGCCCTATAAAAGAAAAAGCTGCCTGCTTTTGTAGAATGTATTTCCTTGTAGATGTGATGAGGACCTTGATTTAAACACCCATTTTCATGTATTCAGGTGGCTACTGATGGTCACCCTGGGGATGGAGTTTGTTGCACTGATTGACCCCTTCATGGTTGGTTGTGCTTGATAAAACATGACCCTTTTGGAGCATGTGTGCTCATGCGGCACCCATATCTGTGTTTAGGCATTGCATGCATAGCATATATCTAGTCTCAAGGAGAACTGTACAGTTATTCTGACAAATACCTGTGTTCCTTATAACTGGGAAAGCATTTTATTTGTATGAGAAATTATAATTTGTTCAGATTGGACACAATGCCACTTGGTCATCTATGTCATTGCTTCTTAAACTGTGGGTCCCAGCCCCAAATGGGCTCCCAATGTTGGGCTCATGAAAAATCGGACAACAGATTTCTGAACATGCAGTGTTTACAGTGGAATCTACAGAAGAGGCTTCAGCTGTACTTCATAAAAAGCAAAATCAGCCTGTTGAGCAAGACTTGCAAATGCTGGCTTATTTCCAGTAAATGATTGATTTTTATACCTATTTTATATACCGTATATACTCGAGTATAAGCCAATCCGAATATAAGCCGAGACACCTAATTTTACCACAAAAAACTGAGAAAACAGATAGACTCGAGTATGAGCCAAGGGTGGGAAATGCAGCAGCTACTGGTAAATTTCAAAATAAAAGTAGATGCCAATACAATTACATTAATTGAGGAATCAGTAGGTTATATATTTTTGAATATTTACAAAAATGGTAATTTAAGATAAGACTGTCCAACTCTGATTAAATGATTATTTACCTTCTTCAATGTAAATGTGCTTACGTATCCTTCCAATAATAATAAAGAGAGCAACATAACAAATGTAATAATAACAATAATAATAAAAAGAGTAAAATAATGAATGTAGCAATAACAACAATTATACAGTAAAATAATAAATGCATAATAGAGTAAAATGATAAATGTAATAATAATAAGTAGAATTAAATAATAAATGAAATGAAAATAACAACAACAACAACAACAGAGTAAAATAATAAATAATCTTGACTCAAGTATAAGCCGAGGGGGATTTCTTCAGCATAAAAAAAGGGCTGAAAAACTAGGCTTATACTCGAGTATATACAGTACCTATATATCTGGGGTTGCATAAACATTTCTCAGGCAGAAAGAGGTCCCATGTGAGAAAGTTTGAAGAAGCCTTGATCAATGTCAGGCATGATAGGCTGTTAGGAATTGTGGGAGTTGAAATCCAAAACTTCTGGAGGGCTGAAGTTTGCCCATGCCTGCTCTATATAGTAATCTAATCCTAAATGTACCTAGCAATCAAGGGTGTGTTTTTTACACTTTACCTCCTTTACATTCATTTCCAAGTCTCCACGTTGCCACTGAGAATCTTGATAGGTCAGATCCATAACCACAGTATGGTTCCCCCTTCCAGTTCTTTTAGGTGGTCATCAATGGATTCTTCAAATGGCAATGAATGTGAAATCTTGCCATAATTCTTCTATTCTTGTGGAGCTGAGGTCTCAATATAATAGGACGTGAGACCTATTGATATTGATTCCTATTGCTTTGTTTGAGGAGGAGGAAAATCTGTCAGTCTGTTTACTGTGGGTCCACAGGCTCCTTTTATCTACTTGCAAAACAGTCTAGTTTCTCTCTGTCTCTCTCTCTCTCTCTCTCTCTCGGTGCATTTATTTTATTTTTAAAAAGGATTTTGCCCTGCTTTTCAGCCAGTGAAGCTCCCACTGTGTTTACAGGAAACTGGGTAAATTACACAGATATCATATTCGATCATACTCAGTTTATGTATCTTGAAAATGTGCGCTCTACTCTATCCAAGACAATTAATAGAGAAGAACAGTAAAATGTAATAAACGTGTACACAGTGAAATTGATGTATCTTCGCAGAATGAAAAAATCCAGCAGAGCAATGTAGCAGTTAAAACAAGGTGTAAATTAAACTGGAAAAGCAGGGTCAATAAAAATATATTGGCTTGATGCTAAAAGGATGGCTAACTTCCATAACCATAGTGCTACAACTGAGAAGGCCCAGTTTTCTAATTTTAGTTAGCATACAGTTGTATTTTTTTCGTGTCAGGAGCCACTTGAGAAACTGCAAGTTGCTTCTGGTGTGAGAGAATTGGCCATCTGCAAGGTCATTGCCCAGGGGACACCTGGATGTTTTACCATCCTTTGGGAGGCTTCTCTCATGTCCCTACTTGGGAAGCTGGAGCTGACAGACAGGAGCTCACCCCACTCCCTGGATTCGAATCAATGACCTTTTGGTCAGCAGTCCTGTCAGCTCAATAGGTTTAATCTACTGCACCACCAGGGGCTCTAGCATACAGGTAGGTATATGGGGTCTTTTATTTGATGATCCTTGTGATCAAAAATTGCTCCAAATTTCCAATTTTTATGAATATTTTAGTATCTTATTAGAATAATAGAATCACAGAATAACAAAGTTGGAGGAGACCACATGGGTCATCTAGCACAATCAAAGCCTTAAAGAGAATTTATTAAGGACTTCCGCATTACATCGCAGATTTTTTTGTACCCCTTTGCTTCTTTTTTTCTATAGTAAATATTTCCAAATTTCTTTGTTTTCTCAAGTAAAAATGAGGAAGAGTTCCTAATACCTTTCCCCCTCCTAGTCCAAGTACTTGGGAGGAATGCGCTGAAGTCTGGATATGGCATATATCCTCACTTTGTTGGAGCCTGTTCTAGCCAGATTAATCCCATCTGTGAAAGCTGCATTTCCTTGATTAAATTCTCAGAGTTGGCACAAGTATAATAGTTTATTGGTTTGCGGAGGTTGGGAGAAGGAAGGTTAACACATTTTTCCTCTTCTCTGCAATTTAATGACGTATTTCAGCTGTGGGGGTTTTAGTTGGAAAACAACATTGGGAGTTCTGGTGCATGAAATTCACCCATTATGCCAAGGTTTTACAAGGAATCATCTTATTTCTGATTATCAACGATATGTGACACAAAAGACACATAAAATATCTCATGCATTTTTTCCTATTTGACCGAATCCTGAATTTTCCCAGAGTAGTAATGACAAGAAAGTGACACAGTGCCCAACCTGTTACCCACTTGACATTTGACAACTAACGTTCTCAGCAACTGCTAGATCATAATATTATTATTCCATGATTATTTTATTCATTTATAGTCTACCTTCTCCCCTAATATGATTGGATCCCAAGATTACTTATAAATTATTAAAAGCATTACAGGTTCGCTTTATGGTTGTCATAAATCGGAAACTTGAAGGCGCACAACAAGAACCACA